GAACGGCAACATCGCATATTAGAATACAAAGATAGTGGTAGAACGCGGAACGGCAACATGTTGCCGTTCCGCCACGCTACCGTTATAGTGGTAGAAAGAGAGAGATAGTGGAATCAGCAATATCTACGGATCGTGGCTGGATCAACTAAGTGAGCAAGTGTATATATATATATATATATATATACATTTGTCTTTAATTCAAAGGAAATATAAATAATGAACGCATCACATTTAAAACAGTAATAAGTACGTACGTAATATTATCACATGGTAACAGCACGTATTATGGCAAAAATAAACATCGGCTGATTTGAAAAGATTTATTATAGTAATAATAGTAATCTCAGGACAATTCACACAGCTTCATCTAGACCCAAGTTAAGCTAGCTGAAGATTATGTTATGGGTACTAGACAACTGATATAAATACAAAGATTTTTTTTCGTAAATACATATATATTATCTATACATAGAAAACACCCAGACCGTTACAAACAATCATACTCATGAATACAAATGTTTGCAGCGTGCGAGGAATCGAACCCTCGACCACCAAGCAGGAATCAAAGCGGTGTGCTAGATAAATCGCTAGACTACCGACAACTAGCTGTACACGCGACTTCGTCCGCGTGGAATTTAACTTCTTATATTTTAGAAAAATAAAGTGAAATTCCACACGGACGAAATCCCGTGTACAGCGAATCATCAATAAAAAAACACGTAGGTATCTCTAATATATTATACACTAGCTGTTCCCGCGACTTCGTCCACATGGTTTTTAACTTTATTTTTCTAAAATAAAAGTAGCCTAAGTTACTCCTTGTTACATCAGCTACCTGCCAAAAAAAGTCCCGTCAAAATCGGTCCAGCCATTTCAGAGATTAGCCGGAACAAACAGACAGACAGACAAAAATTGTAAAATATGTTATTTTGGTGTATGTACCGTATTTATATTCATATGCAAGTAGTAAAAAACGGTTATTTCAATATTACAAACAGACACTCCAATTTTATTTACATGTATAGATGTATAGATTAAAAAAAAAGTAACAGTCACAAGGCTAGTCGTATGCCTAATATATATAATAATGTAATAAATTCATTTAAACAGAAATTGCGGGAACATTATTTAAATTTCTAACTTTTTTACTGTCCTTCTCCTTTTTTCACATCTTTCTGATATATCCCTATAGTTCTGTCTATATTTTCTGTTTTTCTTACTTTCAATTTGAGACTGTACTTATAATTTGATTATCGGATCATTATGTATTTATTTATATAGAATATTTATACATTTATGGGTTATATTTACATATATATTTATGTATGTATATTGTTATTTTTTTATAAAAATTTATATTTTGCTTTGTATTTATATATCTTTTTTTGACATTTCTTATTTATATTAGTGCACCGCCAATAATCTTTTTCTGCACCACTCATAGTTGCCTGGTAATTAACGCGGCAAGATATTACGTCCACCACATGTACAAATTTTTTTGTGCATTAAAGTTAAATAAATAAATAAAAATACACTACTGTTTAATGAAAATGCGTATTGTCTAATGCTTTGAGATGTATCAAAATAAGGTCAACAAAAAAGTCCGTGATGGTATATGTCTATCTCTCAAGGATAACCAACAATAACCATTTTTTATCTTTTACATTTTACGGGAATTTTTTTTATCGTATGTTTCCCTTAAAATCATGTAAACTATGTTATTACGTCATAATCTAAAGAAATAATAATATTTTATAGTGAAATATCCACTATAAAATACCAAAAAATAGCAATGTAATTCGTTACGCGCGAATCAGCTGTTATAAGGTCAAAGGTCGGTGCACCCCGCGTATTTGATAAATAGTGCTTCTCTGGATGTCTTTAAGAGAAAATGGCAGTATGTACGTGTATATGTACAAGTCCTTAAGTGTTAAGTTTTTCAAATGTACAATAAAGAATAAATATTTTTAAGTACAGTACTTACGTACATTAATATAATACCTACACTTTTTACTTGTATCTATTGTTATCAAAATTAAATTATAAGTTCTTAACTTGACCACGACTATGTGACCCTCTCTTGGCGCCAAAACGAGTGAAAAAATGAACAGCATACGACGACGACGCAGTACCTATAGAGTGGAGCAACTGCTTATTCTGTTTTATTCAACTATTTAGTTCATAATTGATAGACCATTACGGTATCAGAGCCAAAAAGTCTTCTTTCTTTATTTATGTACTGTTAGATGCGACAGCGACTTTGTTTTATACTACACTATGTAATGATTGATATACCTAAAATATCTGAGGTTTGGACAAAAATTCAAAAGGTACTTTATTTTGAAAAAGTATTTTGAAAATACCTATTTTGCATTTAGTATTTGAAATACAAAACACAAAACTATTTTTGTTTTTAGAGTGACATTTCTATGAATTCACTGTCGATAGCGAGCGGTGCGATGGAAAAAGATAACTGTTTATAAAAAATATAATAAATAGCCCTGGACAATTAATACAGACTGATACTGAACTGATATAAATAGATATTTTTATTTTGTAAATACATATATAATATACATATAAAACACCCAGACCGATGAAAACAATCGATGACCGATGAGTACAATTGTTTGCACCGTGCGAGAAATCGAACCCGCGACCATCGGATGTAAAGCGGTGTGACCACCGAGGCAGTCGAAATATATAAATAATCTTATGAATTTAATTTATTCTAATTTGTTTGTGTGCGCGGGGTGCGGTGTACGGTGCTCCCCCTGCCTCCACCGTTGCTGGAGCTTGCATGTATGGAGCATTGCGAATATAAAATATCTAGATTAGTAAATTCATAATTGATAGACCGTTACGGTATCTATATATATTCGGATTAAAATAAGTATCGCAGTAAGGACCAGTATATAAAGTGATCAACACAATTAATTGATTTTTGAAATATATATACAGAGCCAAAAAGTCTTTGTGTATTCAAAAAATATCTAATTTGTTTGTGTGCGCGGGGTGCGGTGTACGGTGCTCCCCCTGCAACGGTGGAGTTACTATGTATGGAGCATTGCGAATATAAAATATCTAGATTAGTAAATTAATAAATTCATAATTGATAGACCGTTACGGTATCTATATATATTCGGATGAAAATAAGTATCGCAGTAAGGACGAGTATATAAAGTGATCAACATAATTAATTGATTTTTGAAATATATTCAGAGCCAAAAAGTCTTTGTGTATACCAAAAATTTAGCCGTTCGGAGCCAGTCATGCACGAATTATTAGTAAAAAATGTGTCGAGTATATCGTACTATCGACGAATATATATGGCCACATCGCAAAATAGAATGCGACGTTGCCATACCGCCTGAGATATACGCGATAGGAGTCAAGTTATTCAGTGCAAAAGGTGGAATCAGCAAGTGTTTGGCTTGTGGCGTGATCAACAAAGTGCCCAAAGAGGTGTTTATACATATATATATATTTTTTTTTTTTCTTTATTCCAGTCTTAAATACAAGGTTTTAAAAACGTTAAATTTTTTTGTTTCCAAATATTTATACATATTGCAAAGTATATACTATTAACTTTGGGCTTATGTTGAAAGGATTTGTTACACTGATGCTAAACTTGTTAGAAGCGTAATGTTGGTCATTTAGGAATAAATCTTTTGTACATTATTATACAATGCGTCACTTTTGTATCACAATTTTAGTGGTTACTTCAGTGTATAAATCATTTTAATGTAAACTTATATTTAAAAAAAAAGTGCATAAATGCAATATATGTACCCAGTGGCGGCTTTAGGCGGTATCGAACATGGCAGTTCCCCATGATCTCACTCTTATGCCCAATTTAGACTCAGCCCGAGTGGGCAGGGAAGTGAGCAGCGCGAGAGTGGAAATACTTCCCATGCCATTGGCGCTGCCACTCGCGCTGCCCGGCGCTCCCTCGATTGTCGGTTTTTCGTGCGCGAGTCAAAGGACTGGCAGCGTGTTTTACATTCAGCCCTCTCGCTCAGTTGTCGCCCGGCAATATTTCCTGCAGCGCGAGTGGCAGGGGAAGCGGCTGAATGTAAACGTAGCATTATATGGACCTCGCGTAATAACCCAAGCAAATTTTGAATCATTACATAGTAAACGGGGGATCGATCAGAGGGGTCTCTCTGTTTACAAACGTACTATATCTTAAGATATAATACAAAACACATCTTGCAGCCGCGATGTAGAAATTGTACCTAATTAACTATTGTGTATTATAATTAACAATTAATTTAAACAACTAGTGACTTCAATTACTTACCATTCCTATTTAGAAAAGAAAGAAAGAAAATTGTTTATTTGGTACACTGAAAATAATTTTTAAAATTTAATTTACATTTTATATTAATAATTAGAGTATCAACTAGGTCTCCGCTCAGCATATGTCGTGACGGGGTGCCACGACGCTGGTTTTCAGCGGAAACCTTCATATACAATAAACATAATAAAATAATAATAATAATACACATACATACATAAATCCAGGCGGACAACACAAAGCAAACATTTACGACATACTACCATATATAAATAAACATCAAACATAAACTACACACTGAAAACATAAAATAAACATAAATTCTGGTGACACTAGTATTACCCTGCATTACCCCGCTTTTGGAGTGCAGACTTTCTGAGTGAGGAGGAGTATTTTTTTTTAATTTATTTCTTTTATAATTTACATTGTTAATACAAATAAAACAATAGAAATTGTGGTTATTGTGTTTAATTACAAAAATAACAAGGTAAATAACACTAAACTTACAGTCTAACTTATATCTAAGACAATATCTCATTTTTATACTGCTGGTACACAATAATAATTATTATATACCAGCTGACCCCCGAACTCTGATCCGCCTCAGAATTAGGAGTTTTGAAGTTTAGTTACGCAATAAATTTCCTTTTTGAGAGTTTGTATGGGAAAATAAAATTTAATGTTGCTATTCTACATACAAATTCTTCATATTTTATCACCATTTAAACTAAAATCTACTTTCTAATACTCTCAAAGTATATTTCTGAACGCACCAAACACATCAATCAAGTGTCATTATAGTGTCATTTTTTGACTGACATGTTTTAAAAGTAAATAATTTTTCTGTTTTTGAAATCTAAATTTTCCTCGCAATTTTTCTATATTCTCTCACCGTTTAAACCTTACCTGGATTTCCAGGAATATTTCAGGAATAAAATTAGCTATATATATATATATATATATATATATATATATATATATATATATATATATATATAGCTAATTTTAGTAATTCTGGAAGCAGCCGCAGCCCCGGCAACGCGTTGCTGTGGCTAAGGTTCTTGAATAAAATAATATTGCGACTATAAATTGAGATGTAAGCTATCCTATCTTTCAAGTTGGATCAAATTGTACACAATGTGCAAATCAAATTTGCAATCAGTTCAGTAGTTTAGGAGTCCATCGGACAACAACGGGACACGTAATTTTTATATATAGAGATAGTAACAATTCCATCAAATGGGCCATCAGGTTGTCATTTTAATTGCATAAAAAAAATGTCACTATGACTAAAGCATCTGTAATCAGTCGTGAATCAATATTACTAATACTTAAAGGTATTCTAAATCGGTAACTACCCCCGCGGGTAGGTAGTGGTGAGATAGCTGCCTCCCGTTCTTTGCCACCAGCGCCAACCTCGGCGTCTTCCCCTGGACGAGGATCGCGGTGGGCTGTTCCTCAGGTCCCACGGACGCTGGTGGTGTCTTCGCTAAGAACTGCGCCAGTTCCTCGCGAGAGCTGAACGTATCGCCGCCGTAGGCTATTCTGCCTTCAGGAAGTTTGATGACTTTCCAGGATTCTGTGGTTTCGAAGTACCCGCCTTCGCCCTGTGGATATGTTTTGTGAAATTAATATATATACCTATATTTAGTCGTAATATTACACATACATAAATTGTAAATATATACGCACCCCAATATGCAAAAATTGAACAGAAAACATATATAAATAGTAATAATAATAATATGAAAAAAAAATGAAAACAAATGATTTAATGTTACATATAAGATTTTATGTCTACAGTCACTTGTGTGCGACTATTAAAATTAAAATTAACAAAAAAAAAATTGCCAATGGTAAAATGGAAAAGGTCGGAAGAGGCCTGAATCCTTAAATGGATACCCAAATAAAAAAGAGACATGGATAATTGGTGTAATTCTAATAATTATTGCCTGCTAATAATGAGTTAACAAAAATATATTTGACGACCTCGGTGGTCTAGCGGTCTAGTCTACCGCTTTACGACCGATGGTCGCGGGTTCGATTCCTCGCACGGCACAAACATTTGTATTCATGAGTATGATTGTTTGTATCGGTCTGGGTATTTTCTATGTATAATATGTATGTATTTACGAAAAAAAAAAAATATCTATGTATTTGTATCAGTTGTCTAGGACCCATAACACAAGCTTTAGCTATCTTAACTTGGGTCTAGATGGCGCTGTGTGAATTGTCCTGAGATTATTATTATTATTATTATTATATAAATAAAGTGAATAAAAATTATCAGAATAATATAAGTTAAATAGTAATATGATTAAAGAAATGCATGTAATATCATTATTTTGGAAAATAAAAGGCTTTTTTATTTTATTTTATTTATTATTATATTTAGTCGAGGATGTGACATGCCTGGTGTTTCAGGCGTCCATAAGCTACGACAACCATTTACCATCCGATGGGCCGTATGTTTGTTTGCCACAATAGTCGTATAAAAAAAAAGAAGAGAAAGACCGCGCGCGCAGGACTTTGGAATTCCAAAAAAAACCCCAACTGACCTCGAAAGTGGAGACAGCATAGTGGTTCCCCTTCCTGGCGGTGACAACCGACACGAGGGCGCCGTCCTGGCTGACGATGGGAGTTCCAGCCATGTAGTGGTTGGCCGACTCGAAGCTGGGCGCGCACCGCCACTGCGCCAGCTTGCCGTCGCTCGATATGATGAGAAGACGTTTGGTACGGTTGATGAACACCTGTAGGTTACATCTACTGTTAACAACATATGCATGATGACTGGGGCCCTCATAGGACACTGCAAATTAAACAAGCATATGGCAAAACTAGGCCTACAGTTTTCATGAGCGGCACGACAAAAATCTGCAGATTCTTCCAAACTGAAGAGGAAACGCCACTACACATCCTATGTGGTTGTAGCCCACTCATGCATAAACGAAATATCTCCTTTGGAAAGTTTTCTTTTTCCCGAGGAGATAAAAATCATTGCTCCTAAGAATATCCTTCAATTCTTGTCCCTGACGGGTCTAGGCAGCGAACTCTGAAAAAGGGCACACTATAGATCTATGTAGGTCGCAGTGCTACAGGTGCTACAAACACCTGACAATAGCCCAAACTACCCAATAAAAAAATACACCCACTGTTATTTCAAGCTGTTATATCACTGATCCCGACCAGAAAGAACCGTCTTTCACCTGTTAGAGGCCCTGGGCACTTTAGTATAATGACCATAGTAATAAAGCACTATTTTATTAAAATAGACAAAGTCATATATGAACATGACTCTTTAGATATATATGGGGGTACCTTACCTTCAAAACAAACCAGGCAATAATAATTTTTAAAACTCGTTATGTGATAAGGAGTTCAAGTTCTTGTTAGACATTTATAAAAAAAATAACAAAAACGAACAAATTGACCATAGTCGGTAAGCATTTGTTAAGACTGATTTTCAGGCGAGAGTAGAGTAGCTATCGGTTATCGTTTGGTAACGGAGTAGGGACTATACTAGACTAGGGGGCCCCAATACATCGCGGGGCCCTGGGCACGTACCCAGTGTGCCCAGTGGGGAAGAGGAGATTGGTCTAGACTCTTGTAGTCTTTATACGACATATTTTGTCTCATCTCTCTGAACTTCTAATTGACTAAGCTTCATAATACATCTCTAATAACCACCTTAGAAATTTTAGACTAGGGGAAAATTGGTCACTTTGAACTGTTGGGGCCATTGTAGTTATACCAAAAACCATTAACGTGCAACGGTTATAATTGCAGTTGTCATAGGATTCATGTGTAGTGGGTTTGTATACATTGGTGCAATATTAAGCATGTAAAATAATGATTAAAATTATTTTTTTTATCATTATCATTATATCAGCCCGGAAGACGTCCACTTCTGAACAAATGCTTAATTAAAATTATTAATGTAATGATTAAAATTATTCATATAATGATTAAAAATACTCATATAATGATTAAATCATTAATTAATGATTACTTTTTTAACAGCCATGTAATACATATAATGAAGCTCCAAAACAAGTGGCTAATATTTTGTGTCTGTAAGTACCTTCTCAGCGGTGTCCTGATCGAGGCGTACGTAGGCCAACTCCTCAAGTGGAGCCATCAGGTCTCGTGTGAACACGTCGCAATAATGGTGTGTGACTTTCGCTAATGTTTCAACCTGGAATATTCACACATATATACACAGCTGATATAAATACAATATTTAGTTTACAAAAGAGGGCCTGTCGCTCCATTTATGGTATAAATCCTAGAACCCCTAGGGAGTCATTGTGAGAGTGTTTTAAGGAATCAAATATCCTCACCGTTGCTTCTCAATACATTTATGAAAATATCATCTATACCAGGAAAAATATAGACAGTTTCAAAAGAGTTAGTGATTGCACCAATAAAAGCTTACGTAACAATAACAAACTGATTTTACCTAAATGTCGTTTGGCTAAAGTTAGTTAGTTACTAGCTGTACACGAGACTTCGTCCGCGTGGAATATAACTTTATTTTTCTAAAATAAAAGTAGCCTAAATTACTCCTTATTACATCAGCTACCTGCCAATAAAAGTCCCGTTAAATCGGTCCAGTCATTAAAGAGATTAGCAGCAAACAGGCAGATAGACAGACAGACAAAAATTGTAAAAAATGATATTTTAGTGTATGTACCGTATTTGTATTAAAATGCATGTAGTAAAAAACACTTATTATATTTCAATATTACAAACAGACACTCCAATTTTATTTATATGTATAGATTAGCTGTGTCCAAAGTAAATCCTTGATGCATGATATTTACATGCATCAAGAAGAACTGATGGTAAGTGATCACCGCTGCCCATGAGCACCCAACACTAAGAGAATTGCAAGTATGTTACCGGCCTTTTCATAAGGAATAAGCTCTTTTCTTCTATGTTCCCAAATTTCGTACATTCTATACGAAAGAGTGGTTCGGACGAAGAATCTAGTACCCTACTGACCTGTTCTGGTGTGCAGCAGTGTATGGGCACCACGCCACTGAACGTGGCATATCTGGTGCCGTCGGGCCGCTCATGCTGCTCCGCCGGGATCGAAAAATTCTCCACCAGACCCTTGTAGTGCTCGTTCAGCGCCGTCCGCTGCGACATTGTCACCTGCAATTAATTACAATAAAAATTACAACCCAGGAGAATTCACACTCAGAGGGGAAAAGTTAGTAATGTGGACAGATGACCCGATTTTTTATGAATGATATTGCAATGATACACCAGCCTGCGCTTACGGTATATGCTGGCGGGGCACCAGTGGAGGATAAGATGAGCATGAAATCAGGTCAGTTAGCCCTGGCAAATGGCAATTTACCACGATGATTTCAAGGAGGTACCGTGTGGAAGTCAACCTGATATGGTACGTTGTTAGCAAGGGGGTCATCAGTGCACATTACTAACAATCCCCCCCCCCCCCAGATCAGGTTGACCTCTACGTTATTAGTTCCATCATATGATAAACCATCGTGATAAAATCCTGGTAATTTATTCACGATAAACATGAGTTCATCTTATCATTCTCCATTAGTGCCCCCTCAGCGTAAACCACATGGTTGGTGCACTATTACATTGTCATCCATAAAAAAAACTACAGAGGGGAACGACCATCGTTAGTAATTTGAACAGTAACAACCAATAACCCTGGCCAATTCACACGGCGCGGGGGGAATGGTATACTTTGACTAACTACTCCATTACGGGCAACGACCATGTCAAGTTGACTCGTAAGTTCCAACTAGAAAGCATCATGATAACTCCCGATGAAAGTGTGTGAAAAGAAACCGGCTGAAAAAATGTAGATTCTTATGCCCAATTTACACTCAACCCGAGTGGGCAAGGAAGTGAGCAGCGCGAGAGTGTAAACACGAGTGGAAATACTTCCTATGCCATTGCCCCGCGCTCCCTCGATTGTCGGTTTTTCGTGCGCGAGTCAAAGGACTGGCAGCGCGAGTGACAGGGGAAGCGGCTGAATGTACATAAACGTAGCATTATGATGCCTTGGCTAGAAGTATTGTTTACAAGATAAAGAAGAAGCAATACATAAATGTACACATACGTTAGAGTTACTGTAGTTACACTTATTTGTTATTTATGTCTTGTATCGCCTGGTATGTAAGTTGTTATCGATATATCGGCTCGTTAGCCACAGCTCCACGTCCTTACTCAGTGGCGCTTGCGCGGGGAATATTTCCCCTCTTGCGCACGGTGGCCTGTGTACGCTCGGCGCGAGACTGCAGATAATAAATCGCTAGTGTTTCCACATACACTACAGTTGCCAACCGTCCTGTTTTCCCGGGACATGTCCTAGTTTTTGAAGTGTCCTGGTAAGTCCTGAATATTTATTTGGTACTGTCCTGGGATTATAAAGTATGCGCGCCTCTTAATGACTTGACTTGATTGTCAACAGTATAATTTTATCAAATACTTGTTATTACTGTACAATAACTGATTATATTAATTACTTGATATTTACTACATATTAATATAACTGTTGCAACACTATTACTGCGGTCTGGTTTTAAACTGGATAGTCCTGGGTTTTTTTAACTTTCAATCGTGGTTTTTTTAATTTGGGCTTGGCAACATATCAATACTAAATTGGCTTCTGGTATCTGTGATACCAGAAGCCACATTTTTATATACATACTAATGTACTAATATAATAAAATTGGAGTGTCTGTTTGTAATATTGAAATAACCGTTTCCTACTACATGCTTATTGATATAAATACGGTACATACACCAAAATAACATTTTTTACAATTTTCGTCTGTCTGTCTGTCTGTTTGTTTGTTCCGGCTAATCTCTGAAATGGCTGGACCGATTTTGACGGGACTTTTTTTTTGGTAGCTGATGTAATAAGGAGTAAGTTAGGCTACTTTTTAAATAAAAAAAGCTATAATTATTATGCAGAAAAAATTTTAACCTCCGAAGAATAAGGTTAAATTCCATGCGGACAAAGTCGCGTGTACCGCTAGTTATGTATATAAACAAACTTCGAGAAACAAATATAAATAAATATATATGTATATAGATATATATATATATATATAGATATAAACAAATATAGTCACGAATACAAATGTTTGGATCGTACCAGGAAACGAACCCGCGGCCATCGGAAATAAGGCTGTTTGCCGCTAGACCACTGAAGCCGTCAATGATTTATTTATATACTTTATTGCATCATCAGATACAGGAAAAGTTTAAATTAAATGAACCTATTTACTTGAATTGGCAAAATATGCAATCTAATCGCTAAGATACCACAGACAATCATTGAATGGTAACAAGATATTGTATAGATGGTAAGTAGTTGGTAATAATTTGAAAGTATCATACCTTCCATAGAAAATAATAAAAATGTACTATTGAATAATTTTATGGTAAACTAGGTTCATCCGCATGACATTTATAGCCATTTTAAACATATAGGCTTCTGATGTATTAGCTATATTATTGTAAAGTTTCATTAAAATTCATTCAGTGGTTTTTGCATGAAAGATAAACAAATATCCATCCATCCCATCCATACTCACAAACTATCGCGTTTATAATGTATACATATAAATAAATTTGGAGTGTCTGTTTGTAATATTGAAATAACCGTTTTTTACTACATGCCTGTGAATATAAATACGGTACAAACACCAAAATAACATTTTTTTAAATTTTTGTCTGTCTGTCTGTTTATTCCGTGTAATCTCTGAAATGGCTGGACTGATTTTGACGGGAATTTTTTTGGCAGGTAGCTGATGTAATAAGGAGTAACTTAGGCTACTTTTATTTTAGAAAAATAAAGTTAAATTCCACGCGAACGAAGTCTCGGGAACAGCTAGTATTAAAATGTAAAAGTATTTACCTCTCTCGAAGTTAAGCTATATAAATCATATGTTTCTTTAGTTTTAATTTTTATTTTATCTTTTCTTAATTTTATTATTTGCACTCCCGTGACCCACACACCACTTCCTGTGTCACGCGGTTTTGGGTTGACTAGAAGAGATCTCTTTTAGAGATAAATCCTCCTTTGTTAACAAAACTTATAACGTATATTCAAAACTTGTATTTAAAAATGCAATAAAATATATATAATTATACATGAAAGTTAAAAAATAATAAAAACGTAATTCAGCCGTATCGTACACACTCTGTGCTTGATGTTCAACATAATTCTATAACTTTTTCTACTTATTTCTCTGTGCTCAAAACATGTTAATGTCGAAAGCAACCCTTGAGTGCAGTCATTATTGTATATTACACAATATTGCATATATTAGATTATTTGTTATTGTTTATTTTGCAGGAAATACATTTTATTTTCGTTAAAGAACAAGCGTATCATTTACAACTTACTCGCGTCACAGCCGCGGAGTGAATGACAGAGCAGCTGTGAACGGACTCGGAAATCGTACTGACCAAAGAGTAAAGTAAACATACCAAAAGGTACTGACCTAAAGAGGGAGCAATTTATCATAGTGATGTGTCAACTCGAGTTGCGCATAATTCGAGTTAACTCGAGTTGAATTCTGACAACTGGAGTTGGAAGAATTCAACTGGTAAATGAATGAAATAAGTCAAAGAGCGAGAGCATGATTCTGTATGATTATGACATGAAATTTTCCGATTTTTAGCTTTTATTTAATGTTGTAACTAATCCTGAATAATGTTTAGATTAAATATATTTAAGTTTGTTATTGTCCAGTCTTATTAGTTTGTAATCTTGTTATTGTCAATTTTTATGTTTACTTTGTTAGTTGTAGTTTAGAACTTAACTTAATATGCTATCGTCGTCGTCGATCTCATATTGTATTATTTTACTGATAAAGGCTATAACAGAATAGCAGAGAGGGTGGACTCACTGCCCTCACTGAGTTGTAGACCGTTTTGTCTCATTCATTAGTTTTAAATTATATTATTGTATGGGCAACAGTTGTATTGTGTGAAAAGTTTTTGCTTGAAACAAATAAAGATCATTATTATTATTTATTATTTATATATATATATATATTATATATCTCCCTTTGATGGGGTAATAGACATATCATTGCGGATAAAAATCACCAAACAATGACAGTATAAATGATGAATGATGACGATGGAAAATTTTTAAGTGGAACACAAAAATTTGCGGATTATTCTACAAGTGTTTAGTATTACCTTATTATTATTATTATAATTTTCACTCGTCACAAATATTTCAATATTGATTTAAGGTCGTTATAATTTTTTTTCGCACATTCGTCCTATTATGTTATAATAAAATGATTATGCGTTCTATAAGTCCTTCCGCGGCTTTAAAGTGCCATTTCTACTCGCCCCCTATAGTTCGGTGAAGCTTTCAATGCTAGCTGCGCCCAAAAAAAAAACATTAGAATTGTTCGAAAAAATAAAAAAAAACACATTCCAGGTAACTCGAGTCAACTCGAGTCAACTCGAGTCATGTTTATTACGAGTTAGCACATCTCTAACTTATCAATATATGTTACAATCGTATTTGTATGGACTTTACTGGAATGGTGCATTCGCCTGCGCTAACGGCACCGTTAGGGGGGGGGGGGGGGAGGGGATTGTTAGTAATGGTAGTCCCCATCGCCAGCAATGTACCATGTTAGGTTGAACTCCACGCGGTTCCCCCTGGAAACCATCGTGATAAATTCTTGGTGAATTTACCACGATGGGCTAACTAACCTGAGATCGTGGTCATATTATGAGGGTGACGCAGTTGGAATCGAGCCACAAAGCGAGTTTCAAAGCGTTCGTGGCCCGGGTCCCCACCAACATGCTGCCCACCTTCATGAAGGAGGACAACTGGCCGAAGGGGGTGGTCTTTCGGCGCTACCGTGACAGATTGCCGTCGTCAGTGCCGTGACCATAAAGACAATTTTATTTACCTATTTTATTATTAATTCTTATGTATGTTAGTCTATAAGTTATTTATAATATGGGCCATGTAGCCTGAATTAAACAAAATAAATAAATATTATCATCCTCCACTGGTGCGCAGTCGGGTGCACCAATTCATTATCATATACAAAAAAAAACACCATTAAAAACACAATAGCACCGGTGAAACATGATAGAATGGGTATGACATCAGGTCAGTTAGTAATAATAGTACATCGTGACGAATTTGTTAGGAATTTATTGCTGTTGTTCCTGGAGTTACTGCGTGGACGTCATAACATATACACTGTTAGAAATGTCATTCCTCCCCCTTCCTTCCATGAAATAGAAATAGAAATAATCTTTATTCAAATAAACTCATTACAAGCACTTTTGAATAGTCACATTTTGATTCTACCACTCATTCGGAACGCAGATTCATCACAAGAGGAATGAGCAAGAAACTTGTGTGTTGCTCTTTTGAATAGATGTTTTTTATATAATAATTACAGTATAACAAGTAAGAGGCATGCGATAAACAACATAGAAATCGCTAAGCACTCATTATTAGTGTAATCAGATAATATTGTCAGCGCTATGGATTTTAAGTTTTTCTATACGATATCTGGGATGTAAGGTTGATTCTAAAAAAATGTTTTATTCTGTGTTATAGACAAACAATCTAGCGGTTTATTCAGTTTCTAATATTGCATAGTTTCTAAAAAAAAATTATTACAGTTACTTTATCGATAGTCATATAATTAGGTTTCAATTTCATGAAGATATCTTGAGGTACTGTAGTCCAGGAAATTTTTATTCTCTACAACTTTCATTCAAAACATTATCGAGTTATTTTGAAAAAAGGCGTTTTCAACCCTATTTTAATTTTTTCGTCCCTTTCTCGTCAACTAGAATCAAAATTTCTTTCTGAATATTATTATTCACGTATTTAACTATATAACTCAAACTGATGAAACTGTGACTGACTTACGTAGTGATCTATCAACGCACAGCCCAAACCACTGGACGGATCGGGCTGAAATTTGACATGCAGGTAGATGTTATGATGTAGGCATCCACTAAGAAAGGATTTTGATTAATTCTACCCCCAAAGGGATAAAATGGGGGATGAAACTTTGTCAATTTTAAACCGATCGGGCTGAGACTTTGCATGCATAAAGCTACTATGACGTAGGCATCCCCTAAGAAAGGATTTTGATAAATTCCACCCCTAAGGGGATAAATTAACGCGAACGAAGCCACGAGCAAAAGCTAGTTTTTATATATTGCGACAAAACTGGTCACATCATGTTTTATTTGAAATTTTACTGGATAACTGAGGAGAAAATTTTTCGTCAAGGCGTGTCACCCCCTTTATTCCCTTACTATAAGGGTTAGGGGTGTGAGATTGATTGTACGGCTATTTTAGATGAAAAACAAGGTAAGAATCCTTCATCTGATGCGAGTGCAGTTTTCATATGCTTAACCGCTAGATCTCTTGCCAGTACAGTATGTACCTACATTCATATGCATTTAGTGAAAAGCTGTAATTTTGAATAATACATAGACACTACATAACGAAAAACCTCTGATTATTCCTAATGTAGGTATAATATTCTTTATTCTTTATTGTACACACACATCTATACATATAAATAAAATTATAGTGTCTGTGTGTAATATTGAAATAATCGTTTTTTACTACATGCCTATAAATATAAATACGGAACATACACCAAAATAACATTTTTTTCAATTTTTGACTGTCTGTTCGTTCCGGCTAATATCTGAAATGGCTGGACCGATTTTGTCGGGACTTCTATTAGCAGGAGTAATTTAGGCTGAAGTAGCCTATTTTAGAAAAATAAAGTTAAATTCCACGCGGACGAAGTCGCGGGTGCAGCTAATGTAAAATATAAGGAAATCTAATACCGTACGACCACCCAAGCTGACAAATA